AAAATTAATATAAAAATTATATAGTAAATAATTTAATTACTCAACTTTGAACCTTAATATTTTTATAACTACTGATTTAATTTTTATGAAATTTAGAATATATATTTATTAAATTTAGAGCAATCTGCTTGTATAATTTGAAGTTCTAATATTATAAATTGATAGTGATAATATTTAAAATATCTTTTTTCTTAAAAAAAATAATTTTATTTATAATAAAATAATTAAAACAGTATAAAAAGTTAATTTAGATTAATATAAAATTTGAATGATTTCAAGATTTTTAATCTACATTCTTTTTATAATCACGTGAGCCTAAATCTCATCAATTTATATTAATTGCATTAATTATATGACGTATATGATAGAAAGTATAAGACTAAAACTTCGCCATTAATTTTAGCCACCAATTACGCGTGAAAATATATAATAGATTTGTCTTGGCGTTTTAAAAGAAAATATTCAGATAGAAAAATTTCTAGTGAACTAGCATTATTTTTGTTCGCGTTTTAATAATAAATAACATCTCCAGTATGAATGACTTTGATTTCTTTGACTCACCACCGCCTGGTCTAGTCACACCAGTTCTTCCAGCGATAACATTGCCTCGAGTAAAACCATCACTGCCACCAGATTTATTGCTTCGCATAATAAAATATCTTCCAATAACTTCACTTCCCAATTTCGCGCGTGCTTGTCGGCGTTTCAAAGTGTTGGTTTCAGATGATGAATTATGGGAATATCATTTAAGAAAATTAGGATTTTCGATAAATGCTAAGATAGACAATCCTAATGAAACACCTATAAAAACAAGTAAAAACAATAAATTTTTAGATTCAACCGCGTCAAATCCAAAAAATATGGAAACAAACAAAGTGCCGCCTGGTAATAATTCTACAGGACATTTACTTGAATTTGGGCTGCTCGCGGGAAAATCGTTGAGTTTAATACCGGGATTTCATGATTTATTCGCTCAAAAATCAAGATCATCATCGACCGGTATAGCTAGATCAATATTCAAAGAAATTTATACAGAATTGTTACCATATTATTTGGATTTCCGGCATAGGCGAAAAGATAGTAGATTTTACAAGGATTTTACTGATCCTTTAGATCAAGCTAAAATGTTGAGAAGATTAACGATTTTTGGCAAATGTAACATAACATCCGACTCAGATAAGGTACGATTACAAAGGTTAAAAAGCAACACGTGAATATTAGGTGTTTGATGTGTTTTTGTTTTATAGATTAATAGTATATTAGAGACAACGGTAGAGTATTGTGAAAACATGGCGCTCCATAATTTTGAAATAGGTTACGATGCTAGCAATTATTCGGAAATGAAGGTAGATAATTGTGCCGAGTTTGATTCTTTCTCGAAGCTCTAGTTATATTTAATTCAAATTTATGGGTATTCTCTAAAGAAATGGGCGACTCTTCTGTTAGAATTGAACGAAGGTGTATCATGTGTTCAAGTATTTATACAGAAAAACTCTATATTTTTCGATCATTTATATGATCCATTGGATAATTTTCTGTAAGTACAGTACGTTCTTTTTTTAATATGCAAATTATTGACGATTATTGTTTTGTGATTTAAAGACATGTGTCTGCGTCTGGTGAATTGAGTTATGCTTCAATGGCTGAATTCTTTAAATCTGTCGAGGATGAATTCATAAAGCAAGCTGCAATAATTAATCAGGTTTTCCCGCAATCTGCAAATGTGTTCTATACATTTGTCGAGCGCGTAATTGAAGATGTTGTAAGTAGTAATACTCTTAACAATAACAGGTTTATGTTTTAATTTTATTCCCCTGATACTAAATTAAGAATTTATACTTCAAGATTACAGAATACATATATATTCTTTTAGAAGAGGCTCATAATCGGGACAGGATGGTTTACTTTAAGACCACCGTAGCGGCCCATCAATTTTGTCAGCACGTTGCTTTTGTTCTTTGGAAAGAAACGAAACCCGGGTTTGAAAAAATTAAAGCCGAAGATTTAATGTATAAAATGTTTGAACCAATGATGGAACGATATTTGAACGAAGAGTTGGATGAAATTCGAACAATATGTGAAGAAGAAATTGATAAATGGAATAAAAAGGTATAATGTTTTTTAGTTTTGATTTTTAACATAATGGGATAAAAATTCAAAATCTTAATATGTTTTAGTTGGTGAGCGAGAAAGCAGAAGCCCAACAGGCACTGTTTAACAACGCCAATCGTGAAATTTATAAACGAAATTATCTCTCATCTTTTCGTAAAATATTAAAACTTCCGACATCTCGCTCGCGAAATTCTAATTCCACGCCACCCTCTCGTGCATCATCACCGTACGATAAAAGAAGTAGCACGGCAAGTATCCAGAGCACTTTAAATTCACCGCAAAGCCCAGTGAGTGCCTCCGAACTACAAGAGGCACTATTGTGGAATGCTCGTCTTGAGAAGTTGCAAAAGATTTTGAGCGTGGAAACAGCTTTACAAATGGTTCATGCTAATAAAGATGCTTTACGAAGGGTGGGTACCTTTGTAGGGTATCCTGGCCATATGGGGGTAAAAATGTAAGCAATGGTTGCTTTCACAATTTTATTTGTTCTGCTGATTTAACGCATGATGCTCATTCAATTTTTTTAGACAAGAAACGCTCGAATCGATTTTTATAACTTTGTTGCAAACGTTAGGTCCGATGCATTTAAAACCAGGGTTTGATACGTAAGCTGATTCCTGAATTAAGTATATGCAATGACGGTATTTTCTTGGTTTCGCTGTTGATTATTAATACTTTTTTTAGTGCAGTTCTACACCTGGGTGAATATAAGCCCGATGCAGAGTCTACGTCGCAAGGTTTAGCTCCCTTGGTAGAATTTTTTGAATTGGTTCATATCGCGGATTTAATACAACAGATGCTGCAAGTGTATTATGACGAGGAAATGGTTTGTTTTTTGAAGGTTTACTTTAGATTTTTTTTTTATCATGTCAGCTGAAATCGTCTTCATTTATTTTAATAGTGCCGGTTTATAGATAAATTAGATTTTTTGAATGAATGTAACGAAGAAAAAAAGAAATTTGAAAAAGTTTTAGATGAAAGTGTAGCAGCTGGTCTGAACAAGGGCATTCAGGTAAGATTAATTGTACTTAAGATTTTTATTTGAACTTTTGTTTGTTATTTACTGATGATTACTTGACTTATAATACAGGTATTAATGGACCAAGTTGAATTTATTTTGGCTACTGAACAAAATCCTGAAGAATTCATGCCAAAGGATGACACGAGTTTAGATTTGAAACCTACAAAGGTAGGTAAGAACGAAATCTTGTTGACCGTATGTATGAATTAAATTATATGGAATACGCGTAACTTTTTTAGGCTTGTATCGATGCTGTCGATTGTCTATCGAGTCACGCTAAATTGGTAGTTGGTTGTTCGGATAAAAACACGTTAGATGTCTTTCTCCAAGAGATTGGCTTGCGAGTTTTTGGGTATGATATATGTTATTATGAGAGTCAAATAATATTTTATAAATAATAATTAAATCTTTATTGTTTTCAATTAGCATTATAACAAAACATTTAAAAAAATTCGTTGTAAACATGCGTGGTGGATTTCAAGTTATAAGGTACATATGATTATAAAGTTTATCGTTATATCCAAGTTAATCAATTCTTATTAAATTAACATTACATTTTATTATTAATTAGTGACCTAAATCATTACTGCGCCTTTCTGACTTCACTCAAACAGAGCGAAATCACGCCCTACATTGTTGCGTTAAAAGAGTTAGGGAATATTTACATAATTTCCAATGCTAAAGACATTGGGCTTTTCGTTCGCGAGGCAGATCGATTTAATGGTGTTTTACGCGCGGAGGATGTTTATGAGTTTTGTCTTAAAAGAGAGGATTGGTTGTCTATCAAAAAAGAAGTCGAGAAACAATTGTTTGGTTTGCGAGCTGAGGATTGTTTAATTATGTAATTTTTTTATATTTTTTAATAATTTTAAATTTTAATGTAATGTAATGTAATGTAACATAATATAATATAATAATTTAATATTTCCTTAAGTTAATCTTTTTTTTAAAAATTAATTCTCATTTTTTTATTATGTATATTAAGATGTTATGAATAATATTCAGATGAATATATAATAAAAGTGCTTAAGTGTGAGAATTTTTGCTGCTCCAAGACATGCATTATTTAAATTTGTGTTTGCAAGTACACAGTGACTCTCTTTATAGTGTAGTACAAAAATCCAACCAGTTTTTATACTATAAAGAAAGATCCACAAAAATGAAATCTCACTTTATAGTGTAATAAATACTAAATCATGTGAAGTACACTATAAAGAATGTTTTTATAATATATCATATTGAATTAAAAATAAATAATTTGTAATTAAAATATATTAAATATGATAAAACATGATTAAAGTTGATATTTATTATTTAGGAAAGTAATTAATAAGAGTGAATTGTTGTTTACTCTTGAAGTTTCTTCTAATAATCTAATAATTCAAGCTACTTAACATCTTCATAACTTCCAAGTTAACATCTATAGTATTCTCTTGTTGCAAATACTTTATTACCTTTCCTAATCTCTCTAAAGCATCTGTTATTATTATCAGTATACTCAATTCTTTGTGATTTTCAGGTTCTTGAGCCTCTTCACCAGTCACAAATTTGATAATTTCCTCATCTATCATCTATTTCTCACTTGCTACTTGATTATCAATTTGAATATACTTCATGACCGATAGAGAATCAGAAACTTGGGGTATTTAAAAAATAAGATTTGCAAGTTCACCCTCAATTTCAGTATGACTCACGGTAAAATCTATGAATTTATAATTATTATCATTATCATCAACAGGAAGTATACTAATATGTTACTAGCTATTATGAATTGTAGTCTCAGTTACAGAATTCCAAGCAGCAGTGGAAAATTCAATTATATTTCAAATAATAAGAGGGCTAGGTATCGGGTTTTTAGGTGTAAGAGTATCATAGGCTTTAATCTGATCTTGGCATAGAAGTCTTTGATAATTAGCCTAATATTAAAGCAACTAATTAATAATTGCAAATGAATAAAGATAACAAGTCATAAATACCTTTAAGCTATAAATGATCTCTTGGTCAATCAGTTATAAGTAAGATATCATATTTGGAGGAAGGAAATGAGTTCGAATATTTGAATAAGTATTCAAATTTTCTACGTTATGGCTTTTTGCATTATCTATTAAAAGAAGAATATATCAGTTTGCTTAGCATATTTTGATATTAAGTCAGTCAAGATAGTGACTAAAAATGGTTCTTTGCATCTATGCCTTATTATTCCAATAATACCAAACTGAAAGTGTATTTTTGTTGATTTCTCAAAGTGCAATCAACATCTTGAATTTATGAATAAATAATAAAGGTAATTTTTCTCCTATTACACTACATATTACTATAATACTTACACAATCCTTTGGCATTTTCTTTCTGGTAACTGATTTATAAGTGAGAGTTTTGCATGATTCAAGCTTCCAAAAAAGAGCAGTTTCATCACAAATGAAAATATTTTCTAATGGATATTCACGGAGAACATCTTGTAATTTGATCTGAAATTGTGAAATATCTTCAATTGATGTACTTCCTGATTCTTCTTGTCACTTGTATGTATTAAGATTATTTTATTTTTTGAATTTGGTAAGCTATCTATCTGAAGCAGTAAAGTTTTCAACTCCGAGTCTTTCAGCAAACCACTTAGCTTTCTCTTGAACTAAGATTCCTTGGATAGTGAGTTTCTGAACAATAGCTTGATCAACCCAGATTAATATTACTTCTTTGATTTCCAAATAGTTACTTTTCTGATCATGCTTGAATTTGGTAGCTGTTGATTCTGCTTTAAGACTTAACCAATATTGAGATTTTTTAAGAATTTTAGAAATAGCTTGTTCACTGATCCCAAAGTCTTTTGCCAGTTCTCAGCTCTTGATCAAAGAAAAGTCCTATTTTTTTTCACATAATTATTTTTTTCTACAAAATTAAAAACTTCAAGCTTTAATAGCTTTTTCGTATTAATTATTATTCTTTACTTAATATAATAATTACTCTCTAAAATTTATCATTAATATATCGTTAATATAATAACTCCTCTTTTTCTCTTATTAAAATAATAATTCCCCCTTATTATTAAAATACTTTTTTCTAAATATTATCATTAAATTATTACATACTCTGCTCCAGTTAAGGCTATACGCTTATTAAAGCTATCTTCACTATTAGGTTCTGTTGACTCTTTCTCTCTCTCCATTCTTGACGTGATAAAAAAAAAGATCTACTGAAAAAAAATTCTGACATGTAGTACTTTTTGATTCCACTATATCAAACTTTATTCTATAATAGGTATTGTGAACTACATAATAAAATATACACTATAAAGAATGGCATTGCTATATACTAATTTGTAAATTTCTCTACTCTAAATTTATCAAATAGTTTAAATATAAAATACACTATAGAGAACTAATTTAATTAGATAAAAAAAAAAATCTTAAATTTTCTTCACAATAGATGAAATCCACTATAACAAGGCTACACTATAAGGAGAGTCACTATGTATACACAAAGAATCTCTTGTCAACAAATTCGCAAAGCTCAAAAAAAAAGAACTTCAACCTCCTCTTTCCGGCTTTGAGTTGTTTGATCGACATATTTCTTGTATCCAGATACAAATACTAGAGCTCTTAGCCAGAGAACGGATTTTGATGTGAAGATATTATTATTATATGCCAATTTCGTACAAAAACACTAAAGGAATAAATGGCGCATCGATAGAAACATATAGATTTATGATGTAAGTCGACTAATAGATTAAAGATACTTAATACACTTTAAATCTTTGGGTCAAATAAATCAACTTTAAATATCTAGCTAGATGAAACTATAATCATCATATACATAATAAAAATATATTATATACAATAAGACAAAACAAAAATAAAAATGAAATAAATTAAAAAAGCGAATACGCGTCAAATCGTTATGTCTGAATATTGCCGAGTAATCGCTACAAAATTATTCATAACTCACCAGCCAGAATCACAGAATAAAGTAATAGACTTAAAGAAATAAAAAAATAAAAAAGTTAGAAGACATCGAATTGAAAATATGAATAATGTTTATCAATGATCACTATCACGAAGCCTGTTGTTGATCGCCATCCTGCTTGACTGCACCCTCAGCAGTTTCATCAACAGTTGGCTCCGAAGTAGTAGAAGAATGCATCCGTCTAATACGCTCCTCGAATTGTTGCTTCAAGAAAGACTTGGTACCAGATCGCATACGTAGAATACGTAAAATAATTTCACCATTCTCTTGCAACTGGGGTTGCTTACGCTTCTCGTTCTTCCGCTTCTTTATGGTGCCGAGACTTCGTTGATTCATTACAGATTTATTTTGCGCGGCATTTTTGTTCGATGGGGTTAAGGAGTTTTTAATTACGATGCTTAGATATTCTTGCATGAGTTGCTCGGTATCCCAGTCGTAAAAGTATGCGATTGACATAAGTTCGTGATATTTTTGGTTTTCGAGTAGATCTTTTGGTACTCCGCCGTCATTGTCACCTTGCAGATATTGTTTCAAGAACTATTATGATAATAATAAGCAGACAACGATATGGATAATTGTAGAAATTTACATACTGTTATTGTTTACTAAATATTTATAATCACTTTATGTTACCTTAAGCCATTTAAATACAACATCAGCTTCCACTTCGTTCAAAGCCTTCATATCTGAGGGACGATCCGATAACGGGGGTACCAATAGTTCTTCTAGAGTCACTTCAATTTCTTTCCATATTTTGATGATTACCATGTTGACGACAGTTTCAGTCAAATTAGTGTGTAGTGTTTGCAGATTTGTGTCGAAATAATCGAAGAGTGGATAGATGGCTTCCTCAACTTCTACATCTGTTAAAGGTTCTTTTTTCTTATCACTGAAAAATCCACTTAAACCACTCGAAGATTTTGTCAACTTGTGTATGACATCTTTTGATAAGCATTGTCGTAAAAATGGAGACATCTAAATAGAGACAGAAAAAAATGAATGGTTAAGTTACCTCTTTTTTTGGGACTTGATCAAAATTTGCTTACCCTATCAACTATACTCCGAGCCATATCACTCTGAGTACGTTTAAGTGTACGAAAAGCTTTTCCGAAATAAAATTGGATATCATCCTTTTCCCCTTCCATACTAATACGTAATAATAAACGGCCTTGTTTCTCCAAATCAAGCCACACATCATGCGCTAAATAATCATTAAAGTATTGTGGATCAAGTCTGAAATAAGCTCGTCCACAAACATCATCAGAACCAACTTGATCTCTATCCCACACTGTCGCTGCAACCCATCGCATTTGGTCACCACCAGTCTCGATCGTGATATCGAATGCTTCTTCCCATCGAGGATTAAGCGTTTCATAAATAACACGTGTTTTAGCCAACGTTTTTCCGACTTCGTCAGTCAAAACACAATATGGATCACTGTATCCATTTGCATCTAATGCAGCGATATTTTCGGCGAGTACAATCTTGATAGTAAAGAGGTATCGGTTTTTTTCTACTTTCTCAGGAACTACGGGCCCTGCATCACGTATCACTTCGGATAAATAGTCAACATCGATTGAGTAGTAGAGTTTGTCTAATTGTTCGCGAGCAGCTTCGAGATTATTTAATTTGATACACAACTAAAAAAATGAAAACAAGAATATTGTTATCTAATTGAAAAACGCGAGAAATATGAAGTGAGAAAAAATGAACTTGTTCAACACCTCTGGTTTGAAATCAAAAGGTATGATTTTTTCATCGCTAGCAATCGCTGTCTTTGCTCTGACATACCAGGCAGATTGTTTTTGAGTTTCCTGAGCACGTTCCTCCTCCGGGAACATATCAGCACGAAACAACACTTCCATTTTGGTGCAATATTGTTCCAATGCTTTGCATATTGTCTATATATTCATTAAGGTACAAATGAATACTTAAATATCAAGTATTATTACGCTTAAATTTGATACTCACTCTTGATAAACTAGTCATAAATCGGGCAAATTGATATTCATTGGGCCAATTCAATCGCTTCAAGAATTCAATAGTCTGATTGAACGAGGTAAAAAGATCCACCACAGAGGAAGAATTTCGATCTGTAGAGCTAATAGGTTTAAACTGTATTGGTGTATATCACAATAATAACGAATTATTTTCCGTATACTCGATTTGAAATAATAGTAAACTTTGGTGAGAAATGTGTCAAACCTCGTCAACGCTAATGGCTGAGTGCACCCATTCCGGTGTCTTGTTATCTGTCATTTCTAGCCATTTCAACACGTGAGGGCGGAACCATTCTTCAATGCTGAAATTGAATTTTGTTCTATATATGTTCAAAAAATAATATATTTAATAGTTATGTCTCGAAATAAAAATTAAAACGCTCAATGAAATAACATCAGTCATACCCAGAAGCATGGGTTTCATGCAACACTTTAATGTTTAAAATTTCTCGGTATAGTTCAAAAATATCTGTAACCGGAATTCCATTCTCGTCTCCAGCTTTAACCCGATTTAAAATGTCCGCTGCTAAATTTTCCATATCTAGTGTGAATAATGGAACTTGTTTCTCAATGACTAATCCTACAACGTTAATTTGCCTGCATTAAAAATATAGTTAAATTATGTTTCTAGCTTTAAAAATCACTAGCAGATGATAATAAATTACTAACCCCATCAAAGGTGTTGGATACTTTTTGCTCAATTTCTCGATTTGAGCTTGAATAAACTGTGCCATCTGTATCAAAACAGCCAATTCGTTGTCTTCTTGTTGAGAAGCTAATTCTTCCTGTTTCTTTTGAAATTCTGTCACAGCAACTTTCTAAGGACAACGAAACAATTAAATTTTTAAATCCTTAAATGAATTAAACGTATAAAACTTGAGTAACATACTCGAACGCCCTCTCGTATAGATTCGTAACTTAGCGATACGTCTGGGTGTGCCTTATTGAATAGTTCGCTTTCGTAAATATCATTAAGCAAAAATAATACCGGATCAAAAGTAGAAGTCTTAATCTTGTAAAGATGCTGAAGGGCCTCCCAAAGAAAGCGTAATAGAGAATCGTGAATTCCTTCATAAACTTTAAGAAGCTCTTCACGCTAAAATAATAATATCATTAGAATATAGAAATTCAAAGTCAAACAAAAAAATTAAGAAAATATAATGCTGATAACTTGCATCACTTAATGTCCATATCGATAGGTCTCGCTTTTTAATAGCTTCTTTCAAGGCATGCATTCCATCTCTAATATGCTCCAAGGTTATTAGTTCGTGATTATCATCATATCTAACCCTGAGAGCATCAAGGTAAAGCAACGCACGATATCCATTTGGAACTCTCCAACGCAGAACACAATCGTTTAATAAATCATTTGTATTTTTCGTAAAAATTTTCAATGAGAAATCATCCTTTGCACGATTATTTAATTCATAGTCTAGGCATTTGTTCAAAAGCAATTTATAGTAGGTTCTAGGATTCGGCGGAATATAAGTGAATGCACCATAAATATTACTAGACTATTAAGATAATTGGATAAGTCAACAATTAAAAGCATGCAAAAATTGCAATGGAATTAAAATGACTTAAACAAACCTCCGAAGATTTCTCTGAACCAATAGAGCCCGATGTAGTTGTTGGAGAGGCCGGTGTCCTCGAGCTATCTTCTATTGGTGAAGGTACTGAGGAAAACTGTGAACTTTGAACAGGTGGATTTTGGCCGGACGGATATTGTCTAGATTGATTTGAAGCAGGTGGGATTTGATATTGAGAAGATTGTGAATACTGCGGGTATTGACCGGATGTAGGAGATTGATTTGCCTGTATCGGTTGAATTACACTTTGTCTGGGAGAAGTTTGAGAATACTGCGGATATTGTCCAGATGTAGAAGATTGATTTGTCTGTGTCGGTTGAATTACACTTTGTCTGGGAGAAGTTTGAGAATACTGCGGGTATTGTCCAGATGTAGAAGATTGATTTGTCTGTATCGGTTGAATTACACTTTGTCTGGGAGAAGTTTGAGAATACTGCGGGTATTGACCGGATGTAGGAGGATATTGATTTGCTTGTATCGGTTGAGTTACACTTTGTCTAGGAGAAGTTTGAGACAGAGATGGCGATGGATACTGACCCGGCGAGCTTGAACCTGTTGCTGTTTTTTGTAGTTGTTGAGCAGATTGTTGTGGACTTTGACCGGGTGATGTGGTTGCGCCAGATATAGGATATTGACTGATCTGTGAATGAGACACGAAATTAACTGGCGTAGGTAATGATGAATATAAATTAGAGGCAGATGGCGTGTATGGTTGTGTCTGCGGATATTGTTGAGGAGATGGATAATTGAAATTAGGGGGAGGATAAAATCCTGGTTGTGCTGATTGATACGGTGAAGATTGCGCTGGCGTAGTGTGTTGTTGGTACGGCGCTCCTGTATAAGTAGGTGGTGGTGGATAATTTATATTAGGAGATGGATAGTTTCCAGTTGCGGATAGTTGAGTAGGTGGATATTGTGATTGTTGAGTTGGAGGATAAGAAGGTATTTGATTATACTGTCCATAAGGAGTTTGCTGCAACGGTAGCGCATATTGTCCTTGAGGTGAAGCTTGTACATCTTGCTGTGGAGGCTGTCCTTGTCCTTGTAACGTAGCAGGCTGATGGTTGAAGGTGCCCTGAGGTGCAGAATGACGCACATTACTAGTTTGTGATACAAATTGACCTTGTTGAGGAGTCTGTCCTTGTCCTTGTGTGGTAGCAGGCTGCTGTCCTTGTTGTGTTACAAAAGGTTGTTGTTGATTAAAGGTACTCTGAGCTACAGAATGACGTGCGCTACTAGTGCGTTGCTCCTGAGTTTTTGTGATTTCGAATTGCCTATAAGCATCAACTGACACTTCAGTTTCACCAGAATATGATATGCTTCTTGAAGCAGCTGGACTTGATGTAGGCGCGGCGGATCGCCCTTTAGATAAAAGGGTAGATACAACTTCATGCGATTGTTTTGGCGCCAGCCCAGGATTAAATGCTATCAACGCGGTCATAATGTCAGCCATAGTCTTTAATTCCTGCGATTTCCAATTATTGTACGCTTCATCTGAATCAAAATCTTCTCGGCGTGCAGGAAAAGGTGAACCACGATTTACGTGATTTATACATGTTCGAAGATCATCTATGGCCGCCTAAAAAATGATGTTCAGTTAATATAAAGAAAAAATCGATTAAGCTATAATAAATTAATTAGTTACTTGTAATGTGCACTGGGACTTAAGTTTATTGATATCTTTTTGTACTTGAGTACTTGGAACATTGAAAATCGCCTGTACAGTTTTTACCATTGTCATATCTTCAATATTATTGCTAATTCCATTTTTACTAGGAGCTGCCTTTGCAGCTGCAGGACTTCCCGAGAATCTTGTTTGATACGCATCAAGTCGTGCGATTAATTCAGGTGAATAAGAACCACTACATTCTTTCGATTGAAGACATTCCTTCAATATGCCCACAAAAATACTAACATGCTCAGTGAGTTTATCTTGCCAGGTTGTTGGCGGTGGCAATGTCGCTTTTTTCAATTCACCTTGTGCCGTCTTCAAATAGATTAACACCAAATCTTCAATTTTACTATTTGCGCTTTTGAATTGCTGCCGAAATCCCGGTTGTAGCAATGCGTTATAGAATAACGTGAGATCGGTTCGCAGATATCGATCCTGATAAATAGGATTTGGATCTCGTCCGGAAACAATCAATTTCAGTCTCGCTTGCAAAGTCTTAATCAATTCTTTAGGAATTTTCTGACTCTTTGAACTCTTTTTCTCATCTTTAAATAGTTCGTGTATTTGTGAAAACCCCGAAGAAATTGTCGAACCAATGTTATCAATTTGCTCGTGTACTGAAGCCTTATGTTGATTTAATCCTCCTCCTAGCCCAGCAAGGGAAACAGTACTAAAGCGTTTGTTTTGCGATTCGCTGGAAACGGGCGCCATTACAGGTGGCAATACTGGCTGAGATAAATGGGCAAGGTAGGCAACTCGTAATGCATACGCATAAACTACCTCATCGGTAACAAGTGAAGAGCCTCCACCGGATAATATTTTAGATCCTCGTTTCGAGCCAGAGCCAATTCTACGTTTAATACTCGATGCATGACCCTCCATCTAGATATTAAAATTCCACAATAACGTTCGCAGTTTCAAATTTAACCTTTTTAGAGCATATGATTTCATTGTGGCACTGATGAAATACGGATTTTGATTTGAAGACGAAAAAAAGGGGAAGATCATGTGATTTCGATCTGTCTACCAAATCATCAGATATTCTCTTTAGAGTTAGGATTATACATGTGTACAATTTCGCAAGCATTTTTTGTTAGATTGGTTACTGTCACTTCGGAATTAACTGATTTTTGCCACTATTTTAAGTCACGCGATTACTAAAAATACTTTATTTTGTAACACAGAGTTAGACATCATTTACATCTTAAATAGTTTTGAATACAGTAGTATTTAATTCTTTGTACAACCTTTATAAACATCAATAAAGAATCTCTTGTTCATAATATACCTTCCTCCTTTGAGACGTTCATTATGCTTGGGCTCTGATGGGTGTTATCATCAACACGCTTGATAGAACTCACTGAATTTGACGATGATTGTCTTTTCAATAATATTTTTGGTTGTGATTGTTGTTGTGGTTGTTGTTTCTTATGTTCCCCTTCTTTGTTCTTTAAAGAAGAATCCATTTTACGATCATTTGATGATTGTGTCGGTGATGAAGGTGAAGCAGGGGATCTATTATAGTTTCGTCCGATCATGTTTTCATTTTTAATGTCCTTTTTTGTTTTATTATTATTTCTACTATTACTATTATTATTGTTGTTGTTGTTGTTGTTGTTGTTGTTGTTATTGTGGTTATTATTATTGTTATTATTATTGTTATTATTTTTTCTTCTACTATTATTATTTCTATTATTAATTTCACTTGTTCCGGGATCAAACAATTTTTTCTTTTCCCTAGTCTTGCTATCTTCTACTTTATCTCCTCGCTTTGCTGCTGATGCTATTGTTGAATCAGGATCAATAGCAATTCCGCTCCCAGATATCATCTTCTCTTGTTGATTTTTCCCAAAAATCTTTTGTCGCGCAGCATTATAATCCGCTTCGCGTTCCTCAAAGGTTTTGGGCATGGAATCTGCGTCATCTGAAGATGAAGGCAAGAGTGATGGATGAGTTATTGTTGTTGATCCTGGTTCCCTTGGTCGTCTCAAGATACGAACCTTTTCAGAATAATAAAAGAATCGATTGAAACATATATTTACGTAACCGAGATCAGAGATGTTAATTGGTATAACTTCATACTACCTGTGGGACGTATTCTGTTCGGCTCGTATCAGTTCGTATAATTTCAGGTTGAACGTAGGTATTGCTAAATTATATATAAATTATAATAAATGATTTTTCTGTTTTTGAGACCGTTTAAAATGTTTTCGCCTTGTATAAACTTACGCATCCTGCCATATTTGTTTGTTTTTTTCATGCTCATCCACCTTTTTTGCAGGTTTCGGGTCCAACTGAGATATTTAAGAAATCGTTTGTATAATTGCACGCTAAAAATGAAGGATAAAATAAAGAACACGAATCTCGGAGGAAGCTATTAAAGAATTAATTCTTACGCCAGCGTCAGCGGCTGTTTCCCAGTCATCCCAGGGGTCGGCCATGGTTATAATATATGTGAATAGTTAGTTATGTTTGAACAAAAGAATAATTTTGCTTTTAAAATTCGAGAATTTAAACTAAAGAAGGTTGCCATGTGACAATCCTTAAAAGGTAGCATGAAAAGATCAAAAATCTGACTATTTTAATTTCTATAATGTGCTGCATGAATTTTCTCCCAATTTGCGAATATTTGTATATTTGTATAATGGGCGGAAGTTTGACTTGATTCAGATTGGCTTTATTATTTTTCCCTTCAATGGGCAAGTTGATATAAAAAACCGATTCCACTGTATTGGTGGAAATGATTTCTTCGATACCTTTTATTATAGTAGGCGAACAAACTTTGACTAGTATGCATGTGATCTTTTGATTGATTACAAAAAAAGTATCGTACGAATTAGGTACTGATAAACTCTCGGGAAATTTTTTGTTCATTTTCGGTTCGTATATCGCGAGAGCTACCGTTTGTCAGTTTTTCCGATTTTTTAAGAAACATCTGACAGTGTAATAATGTCTTTGAAACAGCGCAATACAACTGGTAACAAGTTCATTGACGAAGTGAATGGGACAAAGAGAAGTGGAGAGACCAAGGAATTGTATGCTCAAACGGGAGAAACTTGGGGTCGTGATCGAGGTAAAGTAACTAAAACTGAATATGATATATATTAGCTATAATTATACTCTTGGAATATAAATTTTCAGTTTAATCAGCTAATTAGTTTGATCAAATTTAACCAATATGGTTTGAAAACCTATTTATATTTTTAGATATTAGCATATGGAATTTGATTTTATCTTCATCAATCTTATTTGGCACTCCATTTGTTGTTCTTTACTTTTGGATATCATGTACACACTACGAATGTTCACTTTATGAGCCGATAAGATATATAATAGATCATGATCACGCGACTTCTGCTGTAAAGGAAGCCTTATTTGATAAACTTCCTCAATATTCTTTGTACGGCTTTAAAATTTATTTTACATGGCTCGTGTTTCAAGCATTGTTATATGCAGTGTTGCCTGGGAAAATTGGTTATGGGCAACAGACACCCGCTGGTCATATTTTGCCTTATAAGGTATTATATTTAATAATTTATGTAGTACACGAGTTGAAAAACATTATTAATCAAATAAACAGGTCAATGGATTATTGGCTTGGACTATTACACACATCTTATTTCTCGCAGGTGCTTTCTATTTTGGATGGTGGGATGCTTCGATAATTCATGATCAATGGGGCCCATTACTAGTAGCAGCCAATATCTACGGATATTACCTTACTTTCTTTGTGTTCTTAAAGGCCTACGTGTTTCCCACGCACCCAGAAGATCGTAAATTTTCGGGACATATGTTGTACGATTTGATGATGGGAATCGAGTTGAATCCAAGGATTGGGAAATTGTGGGATTTTAAGTTGTTTCACAACGGTCGACCTGGAATTATCGCGTGGACTTTGATCAATTTATCGTTTGCAGCTGCGCAATATAATAAAATTGGTATGTTATTATATTCTCTTAATCATATATTTTTCATAATTCTAATTTTTTATCTTTACAATTTTAGGATACGTGACCAATTCAATGGTTTTGTTGAATATTTTGCATGCAACCTATGTATTGGATTTCTTTTATAACGAGGATTGGTATCTTCGAACAATTGGTATAGAGATTTTCGATTTACTTATTGAAGAACGCGAGAATTGTAATCCTTCATCTATAAATTAAAAATTTGTAGACATTGCACACGATCATTTTGGTTACTACTTAGCTTGGGGTGATACTGTGTGGCTTCCCTATATGGTAGATAAGTCATATCCTGAATTGTAACTTTCCAATAATATCGTGTTAAATTTATTATATCGATAATTTATAGTATACCTTACAATCACATTATTTGGTACGCAATCCGGTTGATCTACCAATCCCATATTTTATATTGGTGGCCACCATAGGATTCACAGGTTATTACATCTTTCGTGCCGTCAACAATCAAAAAGACATTGTACGTCGCAAAAAAGGCGAATGTAAAATTTGGGGTAAGCCTGCCACGTATATCCCAACCAAATATGTCACAAGTGATGGAAAAGTTCATGAGAGCATTTTGATAACAAGCGGGTTTTGGGGTATGTATCCTTAAGACTAGTGGTTTTTTTTCGTTTTTCGTTGATGGACGTGCCATGTCATCGTTTATGCAATAATAATAAGTTGGAAAATAAATGTTTATTTTTTAGGTTGGTCTCGTCATTTCAATTACGTTGGCGATTTACTTATTTCTTTGGCAATGTGTTTAACTTGTGGTTTCCAGCATCTTTTACCCTACTTCTATATTGTTTATATGTTTATTTTGTTGGTACACCGCATTTATCGAGATGACAAGCGTTGTCGTGGCAAATATGGAAAGTATTGGGAAGAGTATTGTCGCGTCGTTCCTTACAAATTATTCCCAGTAAGTCACGTTTCTTTTTTATTTGCAAATTATTCAGGAACGATCGATATATTAAAACTAACACGATAAATTGAAATTTCTTAGGGTATTTGGTAGATCCCAAATTCGATTTCAAAAAATAGCTCGAAACTATACAGTCATAGCAAAAAAAAAAATAGAATTTAGTCATTAAATTATAATTATCATACAAATATGCAAAATAGTTCACTTGAAAGCTAGAAACTGATTGATTTTGAAAATTAAATAATTAAATTCTCAAAAAATAAAAAATTCTTTGATTATTGATATTGACATTATTTTTATCTAAATAGCATGATTTAAGCTGCAACTGTTTATTAAAAGTGGGCAATATTACATACAATACTTATTAAATTAATCTTTATTTATAATTTTATATAATAGTTTAATAAATTTAATTTTTTATTCTAAATAAATTAAACTTAGTTATATTTTTGATAATATATTAAATAATAATATATTATTAAATTACTTAATATTAATATATAAATAATTATAAATAGAAAATATATAAAAATATATATATAATGACAATCAAAATTAATATAATGCTTGAATTTTTTACTAATTATAACTAATAAAATATGAATTTTTTATTATATATATAAGTTAATAATTTATTAATAAAGATTTTTTATTTTTAGCTTAAAATTAAGTTAAAATTCTTTAATATAACATATATTTTTTATAGTTTTAAATTTTTTTGAAAGAATTATTCTAATTATATAGAAAGTTAATAATTTTTATTAATTATTAATTAGTAAAAATTAATTTATTTTATTGAAAATATATATATTAAAATAATTTAAATCAAAAATATTTTATAAAAACTTTTATATATAATAAAAATATATATTTTATTAATTATAATTAATAAATTTAGGTATTATAATAATATAAATATAAAAATAAATTATTATAATAAAAAAATTATATTATTAACTTTAATATTTTTTTTATAAAAAAATTATAAAATTTATTTAATTCTAAATAAATTTCTTTATTTTAAAAAATATTTAATTTAAATATATATTTTTACTTGTTAAAAATTTATAAATATAAATATTATATTTATTTAAAAATATTATTATATAAAATAATTTCAAACTAGTAATAATATTTTAGAATTTAATTTTAAATTAAATTTAAAATCAAATTTAAATAATATAATTATATTAAATAAAATTATAAAAATATAATATATAAAATATTTTATAATAAAGATTATTAATTATATTTAGTATTATTATTTAAATATAAATTAAATATAATTAAATAAAATATATATCTTATTTAATTATATTACTAAATTTATATTTAAATAATAAAATTAAATTATACTAATTATAAAAATATTTTATATTTTTAATAATTTAAAAATAATAAATTTAATTTGTTTTAATTAAAATTTAATATTAATTTATAATTATAATTTTTATTATATTAAATTCAAATTTATTAATTATAAAAAATAAAATATATAATAAATTATTATATTATAAATATTATAATAATATAAAAATATTTTAAAATATATTTTAAAATATATATTAAAATATTATATAATTTTTAAGAAATAAATTATAAGATTAATATATAATAAAAAAAATAAAAATAAAATTATTAATGTTTTAATATTGAATTTTATTATAAAATTACTATAATTTTATAAAAACTTATTCAAAATTATTGAAAACTTATAAATAATTACTTTTATATTTAATAATTTAAAATATAATTATTAAATCAAAATTATTAAAATTATTTTATAAAATTTTTATATAAAATAAAAAAAATTAATTTTATAATAAAAAATAATAATTTTATAAAAACTT